CCTTAAGCGTGAATATACCTGACACCACCGCAAAAAAATTTAAGCATATCATGGTATTATATAACATATAATTATATAACATATAATTATATAACATCTTTTATTACTGATTTCTTAGTATACAGCTTACCGGTTAGGACAAAATGGTCGCATACCCAACATCTCCACATTCAGTACGAATGCAGCGCAGTGCACTGTACGACTGAGTTCAAAATATCCGTTTCGTACAAGTGCACTGCACCGCTTGCGTACAGAATGCTGGGTATGGGGCTATGCGACCATTTAGTCCTACATTGTACAATACATGTGGAAAAATTGTTATCGTACATGAAGGAACTAATAAAAATCGGTTGCTTTGGTCTTTGGAACTTCTGTCCATCCAACACTAATAAGGCACATGCCACAAAATCCAATCGCAGTTAACGATGTTACGGATAAAAATCCCATAAAATAAAATCTCGATAAACTCGGTCGGTGAACCTACCTGGTTGCAATTCCGTTCTTGACCGCCCTTCCCGGCAATCTGCACGCTAAGTTTGGCGAAATACTCGTATCTCAATCTCGGCGAATGCCTCACTGCGCTCCCTGAAACGCTCAGAACCCAGTACGTTCAACGTGTTGAAACTGCGTTTGTCTAGAGCCAGATAATGCTCGGTGACCGGTACGAGGGCGGAATATTGGAATAAGGCTTTCTCGGACACGATGTAGCCAGAAGATTCGTCTGTGACAGTCAACAATTAGAGCCTTATTGATTCCCGTCTACGTAATTCCCTTACGCATTAGGTATTTATACGTGCATGTCCTATAATCTTTGTCTGGAAGAGACATTCGACTGCATCAGATGGAAAACCCGTTTGCTAAAAGATCATTCAATAATAGCGCGCTAGCCGCAGTGTCATCCGTGATCCCAGTAAAGGTCACCACTGACCGCGTTAACTATCATGCAGAACGACAATCAACTGCAAGGTTTTAAGCCGGGATTCGGTGGTGTTCGCTCCCGGAGCTTGCGCCCCTGGTGGAAATGATTTCACCCCATGCTACTGTAATGCACCCTGATCTGGGCGATTTCCTTCGAAAGCGCGTGACTGCCTTATAGGGTCTGCTGCTACCGGAAATTGGTTTGCGAAATTGCGAAAAATCGAAATATATTAGCAAAAACAATATTATACCGTAAAATCCGGTATTTAACATTACACATTACAGGAGCATTATATAAGCACTTGCTTGTGGTTATAGTGCCTGTCACTGAAAAGTGAATTACAGTTAAAGTCGAATATAAACCTAACAAGCCACAGCGTAGATAGGCACAACATGCAGTACTTTGTATAGTACCGAATACTACCGATATAAATGGCAAACATCGTAAACCTACCGGTAGATGTTCATTTTGTTTTGCTTATTTAATTTTATTCCCTTTCATATCGTGCCTTTCGTCGTACAAAGTGGATGTTGTACCTTTTTACCATATGTCTAACCAAAAAATGAACTTTCAAAAAATGATACTGTTCATTTCGTTGACCATAACAGCACTTGAAAATTGTGTTGACCATTAGCACCTCTCGTTTAAGTGGTTGTGATCTGCAAAGCTGTCGTCCTATGATATTTTGTAAATTCTGGCGAGTTACCTGTCAAATGGCAGGAGGCCAATCCCTGTCAGTTTGGCAGGCTACCACCGTGCTTGACCTATGGTCATGAAAATTCCCAAAAAAAATTAATTTTCTTAATTGAATTTTTTTGTTACGAAGCACCAATTTTCAAAACGATATTCGCACTCCTTCTGGTACCTGACCGTACCTGACTGTGGTGGGTTAACGCAACCCCCCCCCCCAATAAACGCCGCAGGAATAGGCGGCGGTGAGCGATGCGGAAATGGACGAGCCGGCGGACCATGTAGAGGACGCTGCGGATGAGAATGACGTCCCCGATCCGGTTTTAAAGAGCAACGTCGCCGCGCCAAACACCGAGCCGTCTACTGCGGATGGTGCGGCGGACACGGATCATGAACAAAAGTGCTTCATTTGTTTACGAGATCCTAAACCATTTGCACTGTTTAAGGCAGAGCGCTCACGAGTGCTTAGACTTCCAGGTTTGTTATATTAACGCAGTTTTAAATAATCTAGAGTTTGACATATCCACAACCGTTCCGGTATTCCAAACTGGTCGCTCGCCTATCGTAAACCGACGCAATTGACGGTACAGTAAAATCTGTGAGATTGAAGATCTGTGAACATTGAACACGGATTTACATATATAAATCGAACACTTGCCAAGAAATCGGCGCGCCTCGTAGACGTAGAACATCATAAGGGGGCCACTGCAAATATTGAACATCTGTGTAAAGTGAACAGTGAACGCTCTACTCGGAACCGTACTAATAACAAAGGCGCCCTATCATTTTGGCTACCATTCATTTCGGCCACTATTCATTTTGGCCATAACTGATTGCCACGCCATCATGCGCTTTTCCTTTTGAAAAGCTGCCTTGGCGCCCCGAAAATTGTTTATATGTTACGGTGTTGTACAGCGTGGAAGCAACCACAGCAGCTTTATCGGGTGGACGATGTGATGCGGGAATGTTTTCAAGCATTGTGCAATGTTCGCACCAACACAAACGATTATCCCTGTTGGCGGCAGGCGACCCTCCCTGTGAGCAGAGGCGATATCGGCATTCGTCGGGCGGAAGAATAAGCTCTCCCAGCCTACTTGGCTTCGATTCATTCCGCTTCCGGATTAGTGTCGGCCCTGCTTCCCAATTACGCGGCCGTGGACGCCACAAATGCAAAGGAATTGTGGAAAGCAAAAAGTGGTCAGACAGAACTCCCGGATCCGAAGTTCCGAACTACCTGAAGTCGCATCGCGGATGGGATGTACCGCTCTGCAACAAGTCGCTGTCGGCACTCCTGGAGGCTGGAAGTCTTCCGCGACGACGAAACTAACAGAGCCCGCCTCCTTGCCCAGTCAAAACGGAAGCAGGTATCTGGCTAAATGCTTTGCCGTTAGCGCATATCGGAAATCTTCTAGATGACGACACCGGAATCAGGCTGGGCGCAGTCATTTGTGAAGCACACGCATGTGCCAAATGCCGTAGGCCAGTAGACGAGTACGGCCACCACGGCCTGTCATGCTCATTTTCGGCCGGGAGACATGCACGTCACGGTGGTTTGAACAGCATTGTGTGTCGATCATTGGTTTCGGCGGAATTCCAGCTAAACTCGAACCACGTGGCACGTCCCATACTTCCGATCGTCGCCCGGGCGGGTGCAGGACCTTTGCCTGGAAACGTGGTATGTGTCTGGCATAGGACGTCACCTGCGTCGACACTGTCGCCCCGTCCCATATCAAGTCCACTTCCTCAGCTGCCGGATCCGCCGCTGCCCAGGCCGAAGACAAGAAAACCAGATTCAATGCGTACCTCTGAAGGCAGATACATTTTTACTGCACTAGCCTTTGAAACGCTCGGGCCCTGGGGAAAATTGGCATCTGCATTAATAAAGGAAATTGGCAAGCGACTACAGCAACACACCGGGGAACCTCGCTCACACGAATTCTTACGCCAGCGTCTGTCGATCGAAATACAACGAGGCAACGCAGCTTCCGTACTGGGGACGATGGAAGGAGCGGGTAAATTAGAAGAAATTTTGTTATTGTAACTCTGTTTTTGTTTTGCAAACCCATGTGTTGTAACTGGCTTGTGCTAATAAAAATCAATCATTTTAGGTACCGCGTTCGATTTTCAGCTAATAAGAGTACAGAGGTATTGTATCTGTACATGCATTCACTACTTTGTAAGCCTGTAATCCAGCAACGTTTCCTCAATAAATAAAACATAATAAACATAAACATAGGAAAACATAAGGAAACAAGTAAACCTAATAACATAAACCTAAAACAGTGTGAGGAGAGAAGCGGCTCACGTAAAGCGATAAAGTCTTTCAAATGATTTCAACGTATTGCGCCGTGGTGCAGTGGTACTGCCTACGCGGATCTAACGACGTAGCCGAGGTTCGATTCCCCCATCGGCGCCTTTTTCAGCCGTATCTCGGTTTCCAGTGGATAGCGCCCTGGTAATATGGTAGCAGATCAGTGTTCGAACCCAGCCTCTCGAGTCCTAAGTGCGACTTCGTGTGCCAACCTCAAAAAAGGAGGAACGAACCAACCTCAACCGGTCGAGGATGCGGTGAGCCGGAGCCGCCGCTGGAAGGATTGCTTAGGCTCGCTACGAGGACGTAGCGAAAGCTGCAAAGGGGGTGTGAGGAGAGAAGCGGCTCACGTAAAGCGATAAAGTCTTTCAAATGATTTCAACGTATTGCGCCGTGGTGCAGTGGTACTGCCTACGCGGATCTAACGACGTAGCCGGGGTTCGATTCCCCCATCGGCGCCTTTTTCAGCCGCATCTCGGTTTCCAGTGGATAGCGCCCTGGTAATAACAGTAAACACACCAAAAACCCGAGGGTAAGAAACCTAAGAATAGCCAAAGAAACCTAAGAAAACCTAAGAAACCTAAGAAACCTAAGAAAGCTAAGAAAACCTAAGAAAAACTAAAAAAGAAAAATCGAACGCGGTAACCAAATCAGTGGTGGTCGAAATGAATGGTGGCCAAAATGAATGGTGGCCAAAATGAATGGACACGAATAACAACAACTCTGTTCATTGTGAATAATGGCGTAAATTCCGGTATACAAGTAGCGAGCAAATATCTAAGCGTTTATAACCGTTTTTTATAACCGTTTACATTGCATGGTCTTGCTCAGCTCGCTACGAAGTTCCTCATGTGAACCATTGCAGTATGGACTTCCAGAGCAAAAGTCAAAATAATTGAAACACTCGACTAAATTATCAAAAACGCATGCAAAAAAACACTAGGAGGACGAAAAAGGTGGAAACAAAATTCTCTTTGCAGCGACTGCACATAACGCTGTGCTAGCTTTTCTATTAGGTAATGGCTGACCGCCCTGGGTGGGAGGCTTCTTATTAGAAAAGCGCATCAAGAGAATCCGGCTCTACAGATTGCCAATCATGTGAGCAAATTGGCGGTAATTTATCTTTCCATTCCCGTCGGGGTCTCCCTCTTGAATCATCTGATCCACTTGTGCAATACTGAAGTGAAATCCCAGATTTGCCAGCACATGGCGTAGTTCGATTGCATCGATCATTCCATCGCCATTTGGGTCAAATACACGGAAGGCATCCGGCGCTTGAGCGAAGTTATCAGTGTCGCGCATCTTCAGACGCATCATGCGTACGAATTCTTCAAAATTCACGTGACCATCGTGATCCATGTCCGCACCCCACACCATCTCCTCTGCGTTTTCCATGCTTATCGGATCACCAGCGCACACCATGACAGCACGGAGCTCCGCTGGCGAAATTAATCCATCCGAGTTAGCATCAAATGCATTAAATGCATCGCGCATCCACTGTTCGCTTGGTTTCAACCCATCATTGTCGGTTGGCGTTTCCGCAGCCGTGTTGGAAAGTGGGTCGACCAGTTCTTCCAGCGCTATGTAATAAAAAATAGCCGTTTATTAGTAAACCAGAATAGTATAACGCTGCGTGGTACTAGTCGTTAGGCGTCACTGAGGCGTGCGGTACGAATTTGCACACCAAAATATTCGCATTTATAACTTACAAGAACTTGAATATTTACTGTATGTATATATATTTAAATATGTTTTCATGGCGCATACGAATCGCACGTTAGCTCTATGCTCGGTTCTAACAAAATATACATAACTAAATCAACAAGTCTATATCAGTGTTGTAAGCAATACCTTGGTAGGACGGTCCCGCATGAAAGGGGAGACGCGGGTTCCACAGGTTCGTACGATCGCCAGGCTGTGACGCGGGATGTGCCTTCAGCCTCGAAGCCCGCTTGAATAACAGCGCAGAGAAAACTAGGAAGAACCCGGCGGCCACGAGTAGGAAGACTCCAAATCCAAATGCATCGATTTCTAATGGGGCGAATACCAGGACAGACCCACCTACCGCCGCAGCGCAGCAGAGGAGTGCCAGGATGCGGGCAGCGCGCTTAGTGGTCTTTTCGTTACACGTAAAACAATCCCAGCCCCAGGGGTGTTCTACTAGATCGTGTTCAAGAGTTATTGGATAACTCATTTTATGGTCAACTTTGGATACAGCAGTTTGGATATGGCGAGAGGCAGAACTAGAAGTAATAAGAGACACTCCGAGCGCAAACGATCTCTTTTGCGAGTGAAGTTGCTGAAAACATTAATCGGCTGAAGGTTTTAGCGTGTTAACGAACCCTAAAGTATATGTGGGCAAATGCCTTATGACTCATTTGTATATGTGTGTATTAGAGACTTATTGCTGTTTCTAGCATTCATTATGCTGTGCATAGAAAAAGGTCATTGCGCAAGACGCCAAAAGTCTAGCGTATGGGCAGTCGACTGATCTTGTGCCGTTACAGAACGGCAAAATTATAGCATCAGACAAAACATACGGCTTTGGCTTAAAAACCGGCTTCTGTGCAGCAACAGCAGCCAGTAGTGGTCAAGGTGTCAAACCAGTTCCGACCCTATGTGAAAGTCGATATCGCGTAATCTCCGAACCGTTCGGTTCGCACAAAAGCTGAGCGGTATTCGCATTTTTTTCCTAAAACGTGCGCGAAAACGCTTTTGGCACAATTTTTCGAGGGAGATGACGTTTTCCTTCTTGCACAAGCGCGACGGAATTCTTCTGCGAAGAATTTGATAAAAATGTGCACCGGATGTGGTGGCTCCAGCAGCGACGAGTGGCGAGCGGGTGACTTACGAACCACAGTCTCCAGCTCCGTCAAGTATTCCTCGGCATTTCCAGGCCACTGGGCAAAGCGATCCCGCTCATTCCCTCCAAAGTGATCTTTAGTACTTCTCGCTTGGCTTTCTTTGTATCTTCGACTTTCGATTCCAAAGCATTAACACTATGCAAAGCATTTGCATTACGCTGTGTCTGTTCGCTTTGTGAGATCAGACAGGAAATGTCAACGTCGACCAGTTCGTCTGCGGCTTTCTTGGCTTGTTTCAGTTCGCGTTCGCGTTTGGTATTCCACTGCATGAACTCATCCGTTCAATCTGGAATATGAAACTCCTGAAGAGAGATAACGGCAACCAAATGCACTTTGGCCGGCGGCATGTCCAACAGATCTTCCGGCCGGTGTCTACGTGACGTGGACCACGTCTTCGGTCTTGCGTTTACAGCTGATTACGGTCGACTCAAAATCACCGCTGGCATGATATTACGGTATTATCCCTATCGTACTCGTCCCTCCGTCATGGCGCCCACCGTCAGTTCGAACCTTTCCTAAGGCCAAGCTAAGTAATATGTGAAATTGTGTGAATTATATATCCCCAGGTGCTCAGTCCGGGTACTTCGGTACTGACTGGACGGATGTCCGGGCAGATCGCTGCCGACTGGACGCCTTACTAAAGTAGTCCGGGTACTGGCGACAGGTGGGTTGGTGGTGAGCCAATTCTGCCTGTGCCTGCGACCCACGACGAAAACCTAATTGTCCGGGAGCTCTGCTCTGTCTGGACGCTGTGCAGTTTGTCCTGCCAGCTGATCGATGCAGGGTTAACCTGTATATCGATCCTGAGCACAAATCTGGGTAAAACCTAACAAAGTAGGGACTCAATTCTCCTGGCCAGAGATTGATGTTCCCGAATTATTCTTAGCCAGCGAACAGACGTGTTCCTGGATATCTGGAGCGGAAAGTTGCGCAACAAACTGCGAGTAGACAGAGTCGAAAGCAGAATTCTTAAGCTGAAGTACGTATGCTGCGAGCAGTGCCGAAGCATACAAAGTGTGCACACAATCTTGAGCGTAGCTAAAGCGTGGACAGCCAGAGCAGTGCTTGAGCTGTAAAAAGTGAGTGTTACGAACACGGAGAACAAAAGGCGTAGCTAACGTATCCGGGTTAAACAAAAGACGGTTCTCGGGTTCAAACAAAAGAAGTCAGTGCAACGAGCGCTGAACAAAGAACTGAAGTGAAAAAGTGAAAAAGCTGAAGAATGGATAATTCGAAAAGCACGGCGTCACAGCCTGTAGTGCAGCCGAAGTTTACAAGACAAGCAGTAAAGCAAGGTGCAGCAGAGCTGATACCGGATAAGTTTATCGTGCCGATTGGCGTTAAAATCGAAGCATTCCTTAACGAACTGAATGTTGCACCCAAAATCAGGAATATGTGGCAAAGATTTCGTTACCTATGATAACGATGAAGCCAAATGGGAAAGCCACCGACAGGTTGGCGAGTGTGGTTAGAACACAGAGAGCTGCCGACTAATATTACGAAACTGTTTACTGTTGAAGCTTATAAAGCTGCTATGCAGAAGTTTAATGCGCAAGTGCAAGCTGTTCAAACAGCAGCTGCTGATGCGTATGAAAATGCTGGTGAAACGGTGGAAAAGGTTGTTTCCCTTTGCTTTTGTACAGCATAATAAGGAGCAGGAAGTTGATAACACAGCTGCTACCAATATCGAAAAGATATGAATGTGAGTATCATTGATGAAGATGTGCCAACTGGTGGGGTTGAACCACTATCTGCACAGCCGTTCTTTCAGCGTAGTACAGTGGCTCCCGGTCAGAGCGACGAACAGAATAAAACGATGGACGTGATCCATCCGTTACATGCCGCAGTGAGGCAGTTTTCCTTAGATCAGAACAGTTTGATAATACTGTTCAGGCGTGGGAAGGCAGAATAGAAAATGAAAAGATTTCGGCGAAATGAAAGAAATGGCCAAAGCCGGTTTAAATGCAACGGAAGAAATGCACATGAAGTTTGTAAGGCACGTGGTGTCATACACTAAGTGATGACAACGACGCCTTGAAAGAAGATGTGAAGAAACGAGATGAAAAAATAAATGATTTGGAAGAAAAGATGAAGAAGCACGACGAAGAGTGCAAAGAAAATGTCAAAAATTGAATACTGAGATTTTCGATTTGCGCGTTTATAATGACAAAACAAAGATGAAGTGGACCGTGTACGAAACACGAATAAAAATCTCGAAAAGCAGTGCCATGATTCAATGGTCAACAGTGGTAAACTGCAACGTGACCTTATACGTGCGCAGAGAGAACGCGATGATCTTCAAGTGAAATTAAAAGCAGAAGAATCTCGAGTCGATACAGAATTGAAAAAGAACGTGACGACCTTCAAGGTCAATGGATATGCATTGAAGATGAGTTCGATAAAGCAAAAACGCGTGAAAAACAGCTGGCCGAGTGGGAGGCCAGGCTGCAGCAGTGGGAAAACACTCTGAAAACAAAAGGTGGCACTGTCAGTGGCCAGACTGAATCCCGGATACATACAAGTACGTTTGAACGGGAAGCGGCATTTGATGCAGCACCGAAGCTTACGTCTGGTCAACAGTCGCAGCCGCATATAAGCCATAGGGTGGAGTTTAACGAAACCCACCGCAGTCGTGATTATGTACCCGTACGTAATAATGATTACGGGTACGAAGACGATATGCGCAGAGCAGAAGACGCGCAGTGGGAAGATGCACAGTACGAAGATAACGAACAACCGCGTGTAAATACTCGTACCGACGAGTTGATTGAGCGCAGTATAGCGTTAATGGAGAAATTTGAGAAAAGTGGTAAAAGTACAAAAGAAAAGACCCATTACCCGCAAAATTATAAGGGTACACAAGAAAGCGGGAAAGTGGAAAAGTTTATACTTGACTGCGAGCGCTGTCAAGACTTGAACGGTTGGGATGACAAACAGCTAATTGATAAGGCTTTGTCAAACTCACTGAAGGATGATGCGTATTTGTGGTACGCAGACCATAAAAAGAAGAATCCAGATAAAGACTGGAAGTACTGGAAGGGAGTACTTCTAAGTCATTTCTCTTCCGAGAGTGATCCCGCAGAGATACGGCAGGCAATGTATGCCCGTGTATTTACTGACGCGCATACGGTCAACTCGTACGTGGATGGTTACCTAAACTGGTTTAACACATTGGGAACAAGTGAAGAAGAGCGTGTGTCAATCCTTATTCAAGGATTAAGACCGCACAGATGGCGCTGGTTTGAAAAGTTAACTGAGTCCAAACCGAAAACAGTGGAAGAAGTGTGTACTCAGTTGAAGACGTTCTACAGTTTAAAGTCGCAGCAGGTTGAGTACAATAACACCAAAAATCAAAATAATAACAACAATTATTACGGTAATAATGGCAACCGTGGACGCGGTGGATACCGCGGTAATAACAATCGTGGCCGTGGTGGCCGAGGCGGATACGGTAACTACCGCCAAAATTCTTATGAACAATCTGGAAGTACGTACGAGAAAGGTGACAGTGTGAAAACTGAAAATAATCAGAACAGCGGCCGACGGCCGTTTATGATCGGAAACGTTGAAATTGATCTTAATAAATGGAAAAATGATGCCGGTCAGCTGATTTGCTTTAAGTGCCATGAGCTGCACCCTGCAAAGTTTTGCACATTTAAAGGCAAATTTAAGGAGGCGACACGTGAACCGCCCGCGGACGTGTTAGCACGGCACAACAGTAGAAGAGCGGAAGCACGAGCCATGGAAGTGTGCAAACTTGGCAAAGATGTGCAAGTGAATGCATTATCTGTAGAGCGAATGCAGCAACTGTCGCAGTTTTCTGATGCAGTGGAAAAGGGTTTTGAAGTCGCGTTACCGACTCTGGATGCACAGGCTGTTTATGTACTTCTACCTATGAATGACAACGATGAAGTAAAACATTGGTGGATACTGGTGCAAGTATCTCCATAATGCCACTGCACATAGCAGAAAAGTTGAATGTGACTGTTCTAAAATGCCCAGCGCATGTGTCAGATATCACTGAATACTGCCGCAAATGACGTTACCGATATTGATCCCTTGTGTGGTATTGTCCGAATCGAATTATTCGGTATTTGCTACGAACATGCAGTGCTAATTGATCCCAAAACAAAGTTGATTTTGTATTACTGGTACAGATTTTGGACAGCTAAACCGGTTGCGTTTGATTTCAGTACGATGGCTTTCAGGCCTACTCGTACAGACGCCGGCTGTCCCAGATATCACCCGAGAGACTGTGTGAAAATTCTCGATTACGTGCAGCAGCACAGCTTTAAACCGGTACTGAATCCCGGTGCACGTCCATGTTCAA